TTCATTACAGGAGGGTACCTTTTTGAAGAAATAAGATAGTATTTTGCACAAGTCCAAAGACACTTTTGGAGGTTGCAATGTGCCCTTTGGGAATGGTAAAGTGAGGGGAGATGTCAAATTCCCTTTGTAATTGTTAAATGTAGATATGAATGTATGTAAGCAACAGATCAACTTATTGAAAAGATCAAGTTGTCAAAACATTTAAATCGCTTAGAACTCTCAGTGTGCCAGGCATTTAAATCTCTTGGCTTTTAAAGTTAAAAAGGTCTGCAGTTTAAAGTAGAGAGTGCTTGCAATTTCACTGTGTCTTTTGACATAACCCTGGGAGCTGTCATTAAAGGAACTGTGCTGCGTGACTGATTTCACAACCTATCATCATACCGTAAAGCCTAATAACCCATGTTTAATAAAAAGTTACAAGCAGTTATGTAGTCTTTGATGTGAGTCTAGTAATATAAATATTTGTTTTTATCAGGTATTAGGCAATTTTATCAATAAAAGTACTTTTTTTTCTCAAAATAGTAATAGACACTGCAAAACTTTTTTTCCCATCTTGCCATATTTGCTTAGGTATGCTCATGGTAGATTCTAATTGAGTTAGCTTGGAGGCTGTAAGGGCAAAACTTGTTGGGTGACTGGATATAGATTGCCACGAGTTGCGCTAAGTTGTCATAGGGGCTGTAAAGAGGAATAGTTTGGCATCGAGGGTATGCGGGTGCAAGGAGTTGTTAAATGGGTATAGGTTGGCATGTCCTGCAGTGGCTAGGGCATGGAGAATATGTGGAGCTAAGGGGAAAACGTTGTAGAGTTGTGCTTTATCTTATTCTTTTTATTACAAGTCCAGGAGTGCTGAGCCGGGCATTTCATACTGCCTGCCTTCACACACGGGAACCCCTGAGGCTACCTCCGTTCTACTAGACGTGTGGAATACCCCCATACCTGGAGCTGAAATGAGATCATCCCTGTGCTCCTAACTCAGGAGCAAACCTTCAGACCTTAATCTCAAGGCTTTGGAATGCATATTGGGCACATGACTTATTTACGTAGAGGCAAGGATACTATAGTACTACTGCCGCTGATCAAAGCTATAAATTAGACAATTTATAGGCAAATGCGGGAATTTCTCAGTCCATTTCCACTCTTGTCCTTGTATCTTTCTGTTTGATCTCATGTCATTACACCAATTTGCCAGATGACACTATTAGCTTAGTTATAAGTTGTTATAACTATAAGTCGGTTATAACTACATACTAACAGTGGGGACAATGGAGTGTTCCAAGAAACAGAAATCTGAATTAGGAGAGAAAGCATTGCAAACATTAAAAGCAACGGTTCATTTATTTTCAACTCCAGTCTGTGCAATGAGGCACATGATAGCCAACTTTATTCCTTTGATTGTATTAATGATCTTGTAAATGTCTCTCTTGCATCTGCCAACAACCATTTTGGAACCAATTTGCTTTGAAATTGGATCAAGTTAATTTTAAAAATGTGTGCTTCGTTTCAGAGAGTCAGCTAAATTCCAAGAAGGAATTTCTAGCACTGGTTTGACAGATCATCGTATCAACAGTTTCAGTCTTTACAAATCATGATGGGTTGGTACATTTGTCTGCTTGTGTCCTTTTGTCAGACATGCCAGCATTGAACTGACATTGCCACCTAAATTAAATTATCGATGCATTTGTTTCAGGATCATACTGCAGGTGCAATGATCTATATATCAAGGCAGAGGCATGTACTCAGTCAGCAATGGGCATTTGGGTTGCTGCTAACTCAGTTGGAGTTTAATTGAAGGCACACCTAGGGTCTGTTTGAAATGAGTAGAAGCTACATTTTATCATTGAAATGAAAACCCTGAACACCCACTCAGGCTGGGCTGTTAAATCTATTTAGACAGTTACATCAATCTGATTAGCAGTTCTGGTGTTGGAAATGACTAACTAATGGTACTTAAAGAAAGTACCAGAATCAAAAAGAGGCTACAGAACCTGTTTTTTTTTGTTTTTCCCCTGTAAAAGTGACAGTAGCAGAATTGTTCCACTTGGACATACAGGATAAATGATGGTTGTCACCTACTCCTCACCTATGCTCCTTGAGGTCAGTGTGGCAAGTTGCAAAATGCACCTGATTGATTCAGCCCTGATGAATTATAGTAATGACAAGTTAAAACACATTTATTTGGCTGTCTCTGTTCTACCACAAAACAGCTTGAACGATTAGCATAAGTCCACTTGTTGCTTTTAGTAACAAATTTAAATTGAAGGTAATCTTATTTATGGAAGTAAAGTGGAATGATTTGTTGTGACCCCTTTCAATAATAAACATGATAAAACCAAGCTGGTCCAAAATCCAGAATACTGGTCCACACCATTTTGAAAAAAGCTTTGAATGAAAATCTTGCCTTGAAAATTGAATAAGTGTTGAGAGATGAATATTATTCACATTGTATAGTGATTAGTGAACAACTAGCCTTGATGCATCAGTGTTTTGGAAAAACATTAAGTCTACTGAAACAACAAGGTGCAGGGCTGGATGAACGCAGCAGGCCAAGCAGCATCATAGGAGCTCCTATGATGCTGCTTGGCC